ACTTCGACCATCCCGATACATCTAACAATTCGAGTACCACTCCCTCCACCGGGGGGAATCAAACCCTATACCAGAGAGGACTTACCACTGACAAATAGATGCCCGACCAACTGATCTGAGTACGCGATATATATATATATATATATAACAAGCACCCACCCGAAACCTTTTTAATACGCCAAACCTACCTCTTCGCATCTTCATCTACTTGGTTTATTTTTTTTGTTGCCCAGAAAGTACATTAATCCGATGAGTTTGGAGACAAAGTGGAGGATGGCAAAGAGACGAGGGAGTCAAAATTTTAAGCAAAATCATGAAATAGAGCTATGAACCTTTTTTAAGCATGGAATTTTCATGAAATGAAGGCTTGGCAAGGAGAAAGAAAAGGACTGAAGATAATTGAGTCTTATAAGTTTAGCTCTCAAAGTGCTGAGCTAACTCGCATAAACCATTGCTCTGCTTTAATTGGAAATGAAACCAACACTCCGCTCTCCTTGATTTTCAGCTATTGGATTTGGAAAGACTTAAATAACTTTGTAGATCCCGAGCTTGATAAGTAGGTGCTTGAAAATCTTAAATCGAACAACAATCTAGAAGTCGGAGGATAATGTCATTAGCCAGAGGAGAGATATCATGTTTGGATAACAAATGACTTTAATATTTCAAGGGGATAAATTTTGAATGTTGGGGTGTTAAGATAAATGTGGAATATTGATTCAAGTGATCCGTAATAAAATACATGAACAGAAGCACACAAATAAATAATTTAAGAAAAATGTACAAAGCACACCAAGATTTAATGAGGAAAAACCTGAGAATAAGAAAAAAATCATGGTTCCACACAGCTCACACCTACTATGAAATGAGAAGAAATTTATAGATTACAATACACTCAAACTTCTCTACTCCTTGCAACTCGAGGAAACTCATTCTTTCTTTTTTCACACGAGATATCACTGAAATCTACCTATAGAACTCGCTTCATCTTTTTCATGCACTGCTTCCATACAACTTATTCTTCCATCTCTAAATTATGCATGCAAGTCTTAGATATCTTAACTGCTCGAAATAGTTTTTGGCATAAGAGCGCCAATTCTGAGTGTCGAGTTTCCAAGAGCTCGGATCCAGGGAGCAATTGAGCACGACTGTGTCCCTCCTGGGCGCCAGTTTTTTGGCTGCTCTATTATGGACTGGGCGCCAGTTTTTTGGCTGCTCTATTATGGAATGATCCTAGAGCACTTGCGCCCCTCCTGGAAACTGGACTTCCTTGCGCTTTGTTACTGGAGTGTTGTTGTGCACTTGATCGCACACACTGGTGTTGAGCCGCTCAATATAGGTTTTGAGTGTGATTTTTGTTTGACACAGCCAACCTACGCGCATTATAATTTCCCACTTGAAGATTGACTGGAATCACATCTCCAAACTTACATCATTTTCATAGTCATGTATTGTAGTGTGGCTCACTTCCAGTCTCAACTTTCTTGAACTCCAATTGAAGCTAGGCATAACTTCAATTTTTCAATTGTAACCACCTTAGTCAACTTATCTACAGGATTTTGAGCTATATTTATTTCCTTCAAAGATAACTTACCATCTTCTAGGAGTGAACGAATAAAATGATATCTCAGTTGTGTGCTTCATCTTAGCATGTAAATGATATTCTTTGCTTGATGAATAATACTAATACTGTCACTATAAAGTTTTTCAATCCCTTGCTTCTTGCCCAATACTTCCATATCAAATTATTTCCTTGCTAGTCTCAGTGATAACAATGTATCTAGCTTCTGTAGTCAAAGTGCAACGATCTTCTGAAGCCTAGAGAGCCAACTTACTGCTATTTTCCCCAAAATGAAGTCATGCATTGGTGTACTTCTTCTACCATCAATATCTTTTACCAAATTTGAATATATATATCTGCTTCTTCAAAACAAAGTGTCTTATTTACTATTTCTCTCAAGTATTCGAGAATTCACTTCATTGTCTCCCAATGATATTTGTTTGAATCACTCATTTATCTGCTACCTACTCACACTGTATATGAAATATCTAGTCCTGTGGATATGATCACATACATCAAA